TATCATGAAATGGTTTGGACCAACACAGCAGAGACTTAGCGTTCTGGGTTTTACTCTTGTTCAAGTGATCATTTGTATCCTCTGGTTAACAATATCTCCTCCGTTTCCAACCAAGAACTTCAAAGAATTTAAAGACAAAATCATTTTGGAGTGTTCTCTTGGGTCAGCTGTGGGCTTCTGGTCTGTGCTTGGATATATTGGACTTCTTGCCTTGTTGTGTTTTATGCTTGCTTTTTTGGCTCGCAAGTTGCCGGATAACTTTAATGAAGCCAAATTTATAACATTTAGTATGTTGATATTCTGCGTGGTGTGGATTGCCTTTATCCCAGCATATGTCAGCTCTCCTGGAAAATTTAGTGTTGCGGTAGAAATCTTTGCCATTCTTGCGTCCAGTTTCGGAATGCTTTTTTGTATCTTCATTCCAAAATGCTATATCATGCTAATAAAACCAGAAAAAAATACAAAAAGAAATATGATGGGTAAGGGGGCTCCATAAGAGACAGAATTTAAACATGGAAAAAGCACAATTTGAATAATTTTTTTTACAATATCAGGGTGAGATAATGTGTTTTTTTTTATCTGATTAACAATTCAATTGATAACTTCTAGATCCCATTTATTTATAATACAATTGTAAGCAAGCCTGCTGGGAGGCGCATCCACATCAAATGCGAAAGGAAAAAACAGGAGAGAGTGATTCACGTTATTCCTATGTACAGTAGAAGCTTGTTTGTGGCAAAGCAATGCCAAATGCAGGTTTCTGACAATAAAAGGGTGGATTATGGCAAAGTGAAACCTCTGGTCGGGTCATATCACCTTGCATCAACCAACAAGGACTGAATGTGGTTGTGAGCAACTAACTTTGACAATTTGCCGTAATCACCTTAGGGGTGAACGCACCATTAAAGATTGATGTAAATTCTTTAAGCAAGTAATTTTTGTTAATAATGAATTAGTTTTCATTAAATGTAGAATTAGATTGATATGTTTTATGTATTCTGTTTTTCATTTAGAAGATGCATTTTCTTGATAATGTAAGGAAAGAGCTTTATAAATGCTAAAATGTTTTTGATTTTGTGAAGGAAATTTTTAATATTTGTTTCTTAAGGTTTCATTTTGCTTTGAATTATTTAATATTATATTAGCAAATATATAATACAAAGATATATAATACAAAGATGTGGCTGAATAAACATATTCCATTTAACAGAAGAACACTTGAAAGCTGATTTCATTTAAAATAAAGAGCTACCTTTAAGTTTAAGGCTTTACATTAGGGGTCACAAACCTTTTTAAGGCTGACCTATGAACTGGAGGGGTGAGGGTTCACCTGAACGTCATACATTAAATATATTTTGAATGTTTCTATTTATTTCTAATAATATTTTACATATTGTCATTTTGAAATCTCTAAACAGCAAATTCCACGGTGTTAAATATGCAGTGTCAAAGTCCATTGACTCTTTCAAAGTTATTACTACAACAGCTGGAGTAAGATACCACCCAGTGTTGGTGAAAATATACGTTGTTAAAATAAGCAGTGGGAGACGTACTCTGGAAAGCTCCACCCACCTCCTTTGTCTAACAGAAATTCCAAGCTGCCATTTTCTAGACCTTTTTCACGGCAACCGGAAGCTGCGTCAGAAAGGGCTAGGGCACTTCCTGTTTTACTCTGGAAAATGTCTCTCCTCCGGTTCTTTTCGTCATTCTTACTGCAGCTTGCGATTTCGCCCACCAAAAAATGTGTGAAAGGATATACGTTCTTCCCCGAAATATATATCCACAGCTATCAAGGTATATAAAGACATAGCTTAGCGAGCTAACCGCAAGCTACAAGATATGAACTACACTAACATCGTTATGAATCCTAACTTATTTTGCGTTGAATATTGGAGACATAGTTTAAACTTTTCAATTATATTGTGAGACTGAAATATGTTTGCCAGTACAGTTTGTGAAAAACAGCATGGTAGAACTTAGTTATGAGATACTATATGACGCTTGATGTTGAAACTACAGTATGCTTTCCTTCTACATGCCTTGTAGTGTCAAATATTGTCAAGGGGCAGGTATCTGTCAGAGCTAGATGCTCCAAATCCATTAAGAAAACTGAGGAACAGCACAAGCTGTAGTTTGAGACAGAAAGTCGGTTAGTTCCTGTTCGTTAGTTTGAGTCCCTGTTCATATTTGAAAGCTGAAGAACTTTCCACGTACGACTTCTGGACAACTCAGAAGTTATTCTAACAAAAAAAGAGTAAACCTGATTGTTCTATGCTATGTAATATCCTACCATATACTAAATATACTAAATTACATATACTGTCATAATACTGACACCTGCTGGACTTTAATCCCTATATACAGCCCAATTGACAGCCTAACACTGACTTGATGACCTAGAAATACTATAATTTAAGCCATTCTATGTTACATTGTATTATGTAATATCCCTAAATATATATAAATATGTTTGATATTTTCAGATGCAATCCATAAATAACGTGAAAAGTTAGGTGAACATGTGAATTAATTGATTGATTAATTGACTTCATTTTTTCTCACAGTGGAGAAATGTATTCGTTACATCGGCTCACTCGTTTTACTCACTTATGTTACTTCAACACCTCTATCGATGTGTTCATGTCAATACAATAAGAATTATAAAATGTGAACATTAATCCTTTTGTTCTTTTTTATCTCCAGCTGTGTGAATCAGTGTAAATAGTTGTTGCTCATGAAACACACAGATGTGCAAATTTCTTTAAAAGGCTGTTGCATAATTTACGAAAATATGTTTACTTAACTGCAGTTGTCTTATAACCTGTGTTAAAATAGCTTCTTCTTAAGGCTGTGTTAGGTATTTGCAACTATTGTTGTTTAGATTTGATACATATTAATTTGCAACATAATTTAAATCAGTGTATAGAGTACAATTATAAAATATGAAATAGTTAAGGTGTTTTATTTTTATAGGATATTGTAAATCTTAATTTGTTTTCCTTGCAATTCACTTTGAAAAAAAAATGTAAAACACATTTAAACACATTTTTACATAGCACTACCAAATTAACATACTGGAATTATTTAGTCTGCAAGATAAACTGTGTCTTGATGATTTGCCAAAACACAACTGTTGTGGCAGATTTGATTGACAGTACCTATTAAAGAGAGAGGCACCAGAGAATCCTAGATGCACAGTCAAGGAAAAGTCTGGGTCTCCTCTGTCTCTTTCTTGCTAAACTGGCCAGGATGCCTAAATAGTGGAATGATGAGTCTGGCTCCATCTTCGTGAAGGTCTTGAATGAGGAAGCCTTTAATGTCACCAACCCACAGGGAGCAACTTCAGAAATTTCTAAAGGCATTTTGGCTTTTCTCATGACTTATCCACAGGATGATGGAAGAGAGCACAATGAAGAGGTAGTGACCCAAGTGAGTCTCGAAAGCAGACTCTCTTGTTGCTGGTGCAGTCAAGTCATTCCTGGCAAAAAGGAAAGGAAGCAGCTCCATTTCTAAGGCAGGTGATGGTGAATCCGCTAATAAAGTTCTCTGGTGTGAAGTGGCGGCTACATAGGAAAGTGCTCCCTGTGTTTATGTAAACCTTCATCTTTTCGGATCGCATGGATCCGCTGCCTTTGTTGGTCCGGGTCCATCAGAAATGCATGATAGGACAGATATGACTGTTTTTTTGCCCCACATGAACAACCAGGGACTGAACAAAAACAACTGAGCCATTATCCTAGCCTTTCAATGATAATGCTATAGGCACCGGAAGTTCTCAAACACCACATCAGTTTTAAAACCCATGAGGGTGAAAATACAGGATTTCATTTGTGCCAAAAATATGATCATGCGCCTTCTGATGTGTTGATGTGTCTAATATAATAGACACATGAACGGTTCATATAAATGTAACCCTTTCACCACGCGGCACAATATAATGTTTGACCAGCTATTGGTTATAGACGCCCTTTAATTTTATACTATGGTGAAAGAGACATTCCAATGAATTAAAACTGTGTCTAGAGGTTTACTTTGATACCCAAAAGCACAAACGTGAAATACCTGTGCAGATGGCATAACAATGCTCAGAAAATTACTTAGTACATAATTAGTAACTAATTAGTGGTTAATTTCAGGTCAATTTAGCTTAAAACAGAGGCCTTTATAAACCCTGGTTATGGCATACTTTTTTTTTTTTTTTTTATTTGTTTAATGTTTCTATTGACCTCCTCATTTGACATATCTCTGTATGGATTCTTTGGGCTACAGACTTTGGAGTAGCAATTTCTGTCTTCAATGCTATTGTGTGGATTGACAAATGTCAGTGCATAATGTATAAAATGTCACTCTGGTAGCTTTTCTGTATTATTACTGTGTTTATACTTTTTTAAACACGTGTAACAATTACCTAAAGAGGCCATTCTTAATGTAGATAAATCTAATAACACTGGAAACCAGTCTCAAAATCTGAGGAAAATGATGAGTAGTTTATACAAAATGTCTTCATATCTAATGAAAAAAAAAAGTATACAGTATTACGAGTTATGTCATTTAAATATAAGATAGTGGAGCCCATTTAGTCCTTTCTGTAGGGAGAATTAATTAAAGAATAAAAGTGTTTTAGTACTGTTAAAAATGTGTGGTATGGATTTGGCTGCTTGAGAGCTTATACTTTTTTAGTATGCATCAAAGAATAAATATCGGAAAGAAATTAAATCATGCTACATGGCAAGAATAAAACATACCTATTTAATCAGCATGTTTTTACTGTCCTCCTCATCTATCCACACTTTGTAGGTCCACAGAGAATATTCCTTATTATTATTATAATACATTTTATTGCTTCCAATAGTATAAATATCAATATAAACTTGTTATCCAAAAGTAGGTATATATAATGCTACCAGTTGATTTGTGTTTTTCACTCACCATGACGTCTACACAGAGGTGGCCAGAACAGGGTTGGGCACTTTTGCACCTGTTCTTGGTGGCATCTTATACTCAGGCAGAGGACCAGATATGCACACAAATAGGAGACCCTGCAAACCCTCAGCTTGTTAAAGATGGGGACATTGTGTTAGGAGGACTTTTTTCTTTCCACACCAACTGGGTAGAAAAAAGAAAACCTACATGGAAAAGCCCAAGCCACTGCAATGCATTAGGTAAGTAATCAGGAGGGAAAAAAACGATAAAAACTTGCAGTTGGCGTGCAGAAAAGATATTAATATATGGGTTTTACATACTGCATACATATTGTACATATTATAGGAGTTTGATCTGATTAATGACAATGTTTGTTATGACATCTTTCTATAAATGTTTGAATCAAGTTTGAATTTCAGAGAGTTCCAGTTAGTCCAGGCTATGCTTTTTGCCATTGAGGAGATCAATAACAGTTCAGACCTACTACCAGGCGTATCTCTGGGATATAAAATATACGATACATGTGGATCCATTGCAAGAAGTGTGAAAGTCACACTGGCCTTGGTAAATGGTAATAAAATGGTGGCTTCGCCTTCAAAGGCATGTACAAGTCCTTCAAATGTGCAGGCCATAATCGGAGAAACATCTTCTTCTCCTTGTACTGCAATAGCCACTGTTATGGGTCCATTTCACATCCCACTGGTAGGTATAAATACTAAAAATGTTATCAAAAATGATAACATTTACAATCGTTTAACGTTTTGTTGCTTAGATTAAACATGGCTGGTGTTTTCTTTTTAAATAAAAAACATAATTCTAATTGTTTTTTGCAGATCAGCCACTTTGCCACATGTGCTTGTCTCACTAATAAAATCAAATACCCCTCATTTCTTAGAACCATACCCAGTGACTATTACCAGAGTAGAGCCCTTGCACAGCTGGTAAAGCATTTTGGTTGGACATGGGTTGGAGCTGTAAGGTCAAATGAAGATTATGGCAATAATGGCATGGCCACCTTCATAGAAACTGCACAGAAGTTGGGCATATGTGTGGAATATTCTGTATCTTTCTTTAGAACTGACCCATCAGACAAAATACAAAAGATAATTAATACTATTAAAGCTTCAACTTCAAAAGTAATTGTTACCTTCCTCTCCCACATGGACTTGGATATATTATTACATGAGTTGTCTGGTCACAACTTGACTGGCTACCAGTGGGTGGGAACTGAAGCTTGGATATTTGATTCTAAAACTGCAGAAGGAGATGTTAATCACATTTTAGATGGAGCCATAGGCCTTTCCATCCCCAAGGCAAATGTGACTGGTCTGAAAGAGTTCATGCTGGATGTAAGGCCACTGAACTCATCAAATGCAGACTTATTTACTGAGTTCTGGGAAACATTATTTAGCTGTAATTTCAAACCGTTAAAATCCACAGAGAATTATAGAACATGTACTGGAAAGGAAGACATAAATAAAGTGGAAAACAGTTTCACTGACATGTCGCTCATGCCCATATTCAACAATGTCTACAAAGGAGTGTATGCAGTGGCCAATGCCCTACACAAAATTATGAGCTGTAACAAATCATGTAATAAAAATATGCAACTCGACCCTTATACGGTGAGATTAAACAAAGAAAAAAAAACAAAATCTTATTTGCTAAAAGTTTTCAACTTGCTGATCTTATTACGAATTGATTTTTAGATTTTACAGCACATAAAGGGAAGTAATTTCAAAACAAAGGAAGGTGATCATGTTTACTTTAATGAGAATGGAGATCCTGCTGCAATGTATGAAATCATAAACTGGCAGCCAGCTGAAAATGGTACTGTTGACTTTGTGACGGTTGGTCTGTATGACGCAACATTACCAAATGACAAACAAATGAATCTGTACAACAAAACCATCATTTGGATGCAAAACTCTTTGGAGGTAAAAAGCTATACAGCTGCCAATGCCAGCATTCTCTGTATTTTAAGTCCACTCTTTTTACAGCTGTATAATTTTAAATTCTAATGTTTTTTAATGTGAGTTTTGTCTTTTCAGGTCCCACTGTCAGTTTGCAGTAAGAAATGTCCCCCAGGAACACGAAAGGTTCTCCTGAAAGGAAAGCCTGTGTGCTGTTTTTTGCCTGAATTTATCTGAGAATGCTTAAGGAACAATTGATATCATGTTGACTCATTATTTTTAAATGACAAACCAGCATTTGCTGAAGAGTAAAGCCTTTTAATTAATATATTTTAAAAATGTAGTTGCATATAAAATTTTATTTGATCCTGCAAAACGAGGTAAAGTTTTTTCCCTTGTTTTTTGTGTCCAACACCTTCACTGTTTTGCACATAATGTCTTCAACTTAGTCTTGCAATTGTTTTAAAATCTTTAAGGGGCTGAACAAATAAATTATTAAGCATAACATTTTTTGGTGATGCCAGTCAGTTCCATTATAATAATTATCTGATTTATAGAACATAACATTACAATTTAATAACACAGTAATTACATTTTTTATTAGATGACCTTCATTTTCTTGAATTTCTTGTTCTAAAGTGATACTACGTGAAGAATACAACTTAAGTAATGGTGGTTTAGTTATTTTTCTTTATAAACACATCTCAATGAAAGCATTTTGACATTTTTATTTGATCAAAATCTTGTCTATTATTTCAAACTCTGAAGTTGTTGCAGTTGCGGTTTCCCTGTATTTTCTGAATCTAGTTTGTTTTTTTACTGGATATCTTGGTTACTAAAGTATTCTAACTTGCTAAAATGTTTTGAATTGACTGATAAATACTAACAACTAGGGCTGGGCGATAATTCAATAACGATATATATTGATCGATAGACGTGTGGCGCAATAGAAAAAAAGAGGGTCGATAAAAGTTCGATAAAAAAGAAACGCAGTTTTCCTTCCTTCTCATTGTAGCCTAGCATGTAGGTTTATGCTAGTCACTACGTCCTCCCAACCAATCACAATCGCGAACCCAGGCACGCCGTCATCAAGCGCCGCCCTCTCAAACCACAACACAGAGCACATGAAGATGTGCAGCAAGGAGAGGCGGAGGAAATTGTTTCAAAGAAGGGTTTTTGTAGTTCGGCAGTCTGGCAGTATTTCGGTCATGGCAAGTCGGACCAAAAACAAACCACAGTCATCTGTAAAATGTGTAGGGAACCAGTGAAAACCAAGTCTGATAACACAACCAACTTTTTTTTTTTTTTTTTATCATCTCAGCCGCTCACACCCGCAGGAGTAGGAGCTGTGTAGGCCCCGACGCAGTTCTCCTCCGAGGAATCTTCGGGAATTTCGGGAAAATATATATATATTTTCAGTTCTGGGCAGTTTCCCACGTAGTTCTAACAATTGAGATAAAAATGCTGAGGGGCCAGAAACTTCAAAGAAACAACTCAGGTTAAAGCAGGAAACGGGGGCGGCGGTGGGCATTTATTTCTTTGTTATATTTATTTTGGTCACTTTTCTGGTCACTTTAGTTTATTCATTGTCAGTATTTAATAACATAACCCAGGTCTCTTAAGTTATTTTTCTTTAAAACAATTCTGTTATGGTTAAAAAAGTTGGTTAAATAAAGATTTAATTCGAAGTCTGTGTTTGTGTTTTTTATAAAAATTAAATCATTTAGCAATATTATAAAAAGTCCAGGCAGAGCTGCACATAAAATATGGTTTCAAATCTTTTCAATAATTATCGATATCGATCAATATGCATTTTTTTTTATCGATAAGCTTTTTTTCTATATCGCCCAGCCCTACTAACAACAATACATGGTCAACATTATTTTCATTTTACTATATAAAATGATCAAAAATAGCAAGCTGTGAAGGCATTGCAATTTTATTTGTATTGCACAATTCAGTACATGGACAATTCAGTGTGCTTTACATAAATTAGATAATAAAATAGAAGAAAAATAACAAAAACATTTGTAAAACAAATAAAACCATTGTACCATGAAAAAGCAGAATAAAACCAATTAAAAAAACATGATAAAAGCAGATAGAGAAGAACATAAAAGAGTGGGATTACGACCTTAAACTAATAAAACCTATGGGCGAGCAGGTGGCATGACCCATTTATGGAGGCCTTGGTCCTTGACACTGTCAGGGCTCCAGTCTGTTTGTTTGTTTTGGTGTTTGTCTCCCTTCCACCAGCAGGAGGCGCCTGGTTCTGGTCCGCCTCCTCACACACCTGCTGATGGTTACCTCGTTAACGGAGTGCTCTTAAGCTGCTGATTGCCACTACCTTGACGCCAGGGTGTTTGCCAGTTTTTGGTACTCTAGCCAAGCTGAGTTTTTGCTGAGTAAGACTGAGTTCTTGTCCACCTGAGTTTTAACTTTGTTTTTTGTCTTTGCCTCTTGGCAGGAAGTCATCCTGCAAACTGGACCTTTTCGGACCTCCACTCCCAGGAGGGATCAACTGAGCCTCAAACTGAGCTGGAGATTCAAACTGGAGATTTGGATCCAGTCTCCTTGAGACGATGTTGAGTTTACTCTCTGAGCAAGGGAATCATCTTCACTACGACCCGTTCAAGTACAGCAGGAAACCTGAGTGGCAGTCAGTATCTCCGTTCACCTACACCGTCCGAGTTCTGGGTAAACCCTGTTCCGCCCTCCACCGAATCAGACTAACTCTGGAAAACAACGCACAGATTGGAGTCAAAGATTCTTAAACTTCTCTGGAAACGTGAGTCAAAAACCAGATCCTCTTCTTCAAATCCACAAATGAAATTTCCCACTGAGCCTGATTTAATCATTTGTCTTCCCCTCATCTTCCAGTTCCGGCTGAGCAGAGTTCAGGGCAACACTGCACCGTGCTTAATCTCTTCAATAAAACCTTTTAAACCTTTCCCCTGGTCTCTCTGAATTGGTTTCTCTGCATATGGGTCCGAGCTTTAGATAAAATAATGACAGACACGGCCAACCCGGATTGTGTCGTCTGTGGTCGTTTGCCGCATGTCTTTCCCCCTCTCATACCCGCTTTTCTGTTGGCGTATTGTCAAAAAAATGAGCCACTAGTGCCATAAAAACTCAACAACAAAAAAGCAATAAAACCCCACTTAGCAGTTTAACTTCAACAGTCAAAGGCAGTTCTAAATAAATGGGTTTTTGCTTTGATATAAAAGAACTCAGACTATCAACACTTTTACAGTCTTCTGGGAGTTTGTTCCAGATCAGCGGAGCAATGGAACTAAAAGATGCTTCTCTATGTTTGGTTCTAGTTCTGGGTGTACAGAGTAGGCTTGAACTAGAAGACCTGAGTGGTCTGGAAGGTTGATACACTAATAATAAATAGGATATGTACTGAAGTGGTGATCCATTCAATGATTTATAGACTAACTGTAGCATGTTAAAGTCTATTCTCTAAACTACAGGGAGCTAGTGTAAGGACTCTACCTTCTTGATTCTAGTTAGATCACGAGCAGCAGAGTTTTGGATCAGCTGCAGCTGTCTGGACTTTTTTGGCAAACCTGGGAAGACACTGTTGCAGTACTCAATTCTACTAAAGACAAATGCATGGATTTTCTAGATCCTGCTTGCATATTAGCCCTGTAATCCTGGACATGTTCTTCAGGTGATAAAAGGATGACTTGGTAACTGCCTTTATGTGCCTCTGAAGGTTCTAGTGAAGAAAAAAAAACAAAGAGCTTGAAACTTAAAAGTTTCAAATAAAATAGTCCTTGTGCCACAAAAATGTTGCAAGTAGCATGCATTATGAAACCAATGTTTGCCATTTAAAATTAAGAAAACAGCCCATGTCGCTGCTCAAATTGCTTTCTAAAGAAAGTATAGAACTTAGAAAAGGTAGCTAAGTTCTCTTGTCTTGAGAAATAAATACATGTCTTGAGATAGATACATTTCTTTATAGAGGTAACCAGACAAAACACTAATTTGGGCTGAATATTTGTCTATTTTGATAAGAATGTTGCAGTTATATGAAGGTTAACACATGGTTCCCTCTGAGATTAGTTTAATTTAACCGTTTCAAATTGAAACATCTTTTCTTATACTTTAATATTTTTCCTAATGCATTCATCTTTAATACAGGCACACTTAAAATTATATTATATTTTCAAGAAGAACTTTGCAATTGAACGGTAGTGTAGGGGGATAACTGCTTAAGTTTTTATTTTCTAAACTTAGCTTTGAAAGAAATTTAAAACCAATGAAAAAAGAAGAATAAGGTCCCACAAACTGAACTAACTTTAAAATAATTAGGTTTATCGCCTATCACCATATCAGTCTGCTCAGTGTCATAGAGCTAAATCATCGTCTGTTAATTGTAGCCGGTCCAACATTTATAAGGACCCATGAGGTCTTACATTAGACAGCACTCTCTAAGATGCTGTCTGGTTACTTTGATTGTTCAGACAGCATGGTGTCTGCACAGAGGTGGGCAGAGTATGGTTGCACACTTTTACAGTTACTGTTGTCAGTGTCTTTCTCACAGACTGAAGAGCCATTCTGCAGACAAATTGGGGATCTTGAGAAACCTCAATTGTTAAAGGATGGAGACATTATGTTGGGTGGAATCTTTTCTTTTCACAGCAGCTGGAAGAACAAAGAAAATACTTATACAGAAAAACCACTTCCACTGGAATGCATCAGGTAAAATACAGCTTCATGTATTTTGTTATTACTTCCAACAAACTAATAATTTACTGCAATTTGCTTTTATCCTCTTGTTTTTACACCCATCATTTTCAACTCCGAATGAAGCTTGAATTTCAGAGAGTTCCAATTTGCTCAGTCTATGCTTTTTGCCATTGAGGAGATAAATAACAGCTCAAAGCTACTGCCGGGGATTTCACTTGGTTATAATATCTATGACACTTGTGGCTCCATTGCCAGAAGTGTGAAAGTTGCACTTGCCTTGACAAATGATAATAGCAACATTTCTTCAACCTCCATATGTATGAAAGCAGCACGAGTGCAAGCAATAATGGGAGAAACTTCCTCCTCTCCAAGCACAGCAATAGCAACTGTTATTGGACCATTCAATATCCCGCTGGTGGGTAGCATTGAAAAAATGTATAACATTGTTTTTTATTATTCTACTTCTATTTAACATATTATGCAAAATATTATTTGTAAATGGCACTTATTAATGTTTCTAAATGTATACTTTCATCTTTGATACCTGTTTATTTTCATGACACTTATTTGACTTTTTTCTAGCAGATCAGCCACTTTGCCACATGTGCTTGTCTCAGTGATAAAACCAACTATCCCTCCTTTCTCAGAACGGTACCCAGCGACTATTATCAGAGCAGAGCTCTGGCTCATTTGGTCAAACATTTTGGTTGGACTTGGGTTGGGGCTGTAAGAACCAACGATGATTACGGTAATAATGGTATGGCTACATTTACTGAAACCGCAGAACAGTTGGGTATTTGTCTGGAATATTCTGTATCTTTCTTCAGAACAGATCCATTAGAAAAAATTAAAAAGGTAACTGAAATTATTAAGTCTTCCACTTCTAAAGTTATTATTGCTTTTCTTTCCCACATGGACATGGATGTCCTTATACATGAGCTGTCGCTTAACAATTTGACTGGGTTTCAGTGGATTGGCAGTGAGTCCTGGATCTTTGATTCTCAAATTGCAGCGATGGATAAGAATCACATCCTGGACGGAGCAATAGGCCTTTCTATCCCTAAAGCACAAGTCAGTGGTCTCAGAGAGTTTATGTTTAATGTTAAACCGCTAAATTCATCCAATAGTCAGTTATTTAATGAGTTCTGGGAGGCATTGTTTAAATGTAAGTTCAGGGAATCCAAATCAACACAACCTCTAAGCGTCTGTACGGGACATGAGGACCTTACAGGAATGGAAAACAGCTTCACTGACATGTCCCTCATGCCTATCTTTAACAATGTCTATAAGGGAGTGTACGCTGTGGCTCATTCTCTACATGAAAACCTTAGCTGCAACAAAACATGTAACAACAACGTACAGCTAGATCCGTTTACGGTAAGCATATTTCTTAACTCAAGATAAAACAAAAATGCATATGCTTAGGACAATATAAGACTATACTTAGAAGTTGGTAATTATATTCATATTAATCCATATATGATGTTAGATTTTACAGCACCTGCGGAAAATAAATTTCAAAACAAAGGAAGGTGATGAAGTGTATTTTAATAAGTATGGAGATCCGGCAGCAAGCTATGAAATAATAAACTGGCAACCAGGAGAAAACAAGACTGTGGACTTTGTCACGGTTGGAATTTATGACGCAACTTTACCTGCTGGCAAAAGGCTTAGTTGGAGAAACCAGACTTTAATTTGGGCGAAAAACTCAAAGAAGGTATTTGCCCTGAACATCCTGTACAGTGTTATCATAACATGTATTTGGTCCTCAAGTTTATTCAAAAAAGTTTGTGTGGACGTCAGATTTGTGCTCTGCTGTGTTCTTACGCAGGTCCCTGTTTCAGTTTGCAGTGAAACATGTCCACCAGGAACACGCAAGACTCTACAGAAAGGGAAACCTGTTTGCTGCCATGACTGTGTAAAATGTGCAGAAGGAGAAATAAGCAACAGTACAGGTTAAGTACTTGACATTACAACCTATTTTTTTCCCATAACATAAAACAAGTGTTAAGATAACTTGTTTTAAGAAATGAGAATTGCATTATACCACCTGCGAACCAGGAACATCCAGAAATAATATCAAACAAAGCTTCAGAAATAACAATACTTCAATAATTTGATTATTTTTTTCCTATATTGTGTCACTGTGGAAAAAAATTGCAAATCTAGAGCAACGTTGTATGAAAGAAATTTTTTATTGAGATATGAGGTTGTTTTGTTAGTATTTTATATATATATATATATATATATATATATATATATATATATATATATATATATATATATATATATATATATATATATATATATATATATATATATAAAAACTTAAAAAAATGAGAGCCCATAGAATAAAACTGTAAATAAATGCTGTAAACAATGAAGTAATCAATGAAATTTGAATAGACACCCATACACACTTTTTTTAATCATTAAATCATTTAAACATTTTCGTGAATTTTGTGAAGCATTCTTATTTTTCATAATAATTGAAGTAATGAATGCCAAAATTAAAGAGGTCAACACATAACAGAAAGAATCGGGGAAATTATTACCAATTTTTTTACTACAACATGCCTGTCCATGTGGTTGCCATATGGGTCATGGCAACCACAAATCAGGCTGAGATTAGAGGCAAACATTTTTCTGGAAAAACTGAGAGAAGGAATGATGACCTCTGATTTAAGCCTTTTTGGAAATAATTACAGACATTCTTGTCTATACAGAAAAAAGAGGGTTTTTTTGTCCCTAATTTTGTTACCCTAATGATGTAGGATGAAAAAACACAATCTGATCCAAAAATGTTACATATTTCCCTGAAAGATATGTCAAACTGCTGGTCTTTAGTGTAAAAAAGAAAGAAAAAAGATAATAGAAAACAAAGGCTTTGTCTAACATTCTTGTGGATCATGATTTTTGCAGATTCTGTCACCTGTGTGAGATGTCCCCCCGAAACCTGGTCAAATGAAGAAAGGAATGCCTGTATAAAAAAGGAGGCTGTGTTCCTTTCATATGGGGAAATTATGGGAGCATTGCTCACAGCAGCCGCTTTATTCGGTACATGCTTGACTGCCATCGTCACAGCTGTTTTCTTCAGATACAGAAAAACTCCTCTTGTCAGGGCAAACAATTCTGAGCTCAGCTTCTTGTTGCTCTTCTCCTTGGCTCTGTGTTTTCTCTGCTCTCTCACTTTTATTGGTCAGCCCTCCAACTGGTCCTGCATGCTTCGTCACACGGCATTTGGCATCACATTTGTCCTCTGTCTCTCTTGTGTTCTGGGGAAAACAATAGTAGTGTTAATGGCTTTTAAAGCTAAACTACCAGGAGGAAATGTGATGAAATGGTTTGGCCCTACACAACAAAGACTCAGTGTTTTTACTTTCACTGTTATACAAGTTACCATATGCATTCTCTGGTTAACAATTTCCCCTCCCTTTCCTTTTCAGAATTTTAATGAAATGAAAGATAAAATAATGTCAGAGTGTTCTCTGGGCTCAGCTGTAGGATTTTGGTCTGTGCTTGGGTACATTGGACTTCTTGCCATGATGTGCTTCACTTTGGCTTTTTTGGCTCGGAAACTACCTGATAATTTTAACGAAGCGAAGTTCATCACATTTAGCATGTTAATATTCTGTGCTGTTTGGATCACTTTTATCCCATCATATGTGAGCGCACCTGGGAAGTTAAGTGTTGCTGTAGAAATCTTTGCAATTCTAGCCTCTACTTTTGGATTGCTTATTTGTATTTTCATCCCTAAATGTTATGTAATGCTACTAAAACCAGAAAAAAACACAAAAAAGAATATAATGGGGAAGGTGTAATTAAACTTATTCTGTTGATGAAAAGTTACAAAGTGATTAAATATTTTAAACTGCTAAAAAATTGTATTGTCATTTATTTGACAAATTTGTGTATTAAAGAACAGTTTTCTCAACTCATGACAAATGTCATTTGTGGTATGAATAATGCTTAACCTGGTTGATGCAGTTTACCGGTAAGGGGCAATTTTAAGAGCAGATAATTTTAAGAGCAAAATAATTTTTCCCTGTGAGTTTGGTCTAGCCTCGATCAATGCCCCAGGCCCTAGAACTGGCAGGCCAATCACAACGCAGAGATGTGTTTTGAATTTTTGGATGGAAAGTGGGCGGGGTTATGAGGGCGTGACGACAAAGCTGCACGACGCTGGAGACAGCACAACAAGGAAGACGGTTCAGCTATTGAACAGTAGCATGCACTGCGGTAGCAGCAGCTTTCAATGGAGCGCTGCATTGAAAGTTAAAAATTCTCTTTTCTGTTGCTGTTGTTCAGTAAAAGTACATTTTAAGAAAATTTGAGACGAGAATATTATACTTTCAAGCATCACTATATGGTCCATTTACCAATACAATGCGTAGTTAAAAGAAACAATTTCCGAAGTTGAGAAGACTGCAGAAACTAGCGGACCTCTGAGGCTAATGGCAGCCAGGGCTAACTGCTGCCCGTCTGCAGCGGCCCTCTCTCAGCATAGTAGTGTGTGAAGGACCGCTGGCTCTGATGGCGATTTTTGACTCAGCTTTGGAATCAGTTATGAAAGGATTAGACTTGGGGTTTTCGTTGAAACGGGAGCAGGAAGAGGCTCTACACTCATTAATTTTTGAAAAGGACGTATTCGCCGTTTTACCGACAGGCTGTTTGTTTACACTCCCCCACCAGCTTTCTGTCGCACTCACTTCATCAGTTGCGCTCATTGGTCAGAGCGTTGACCAATAGGCACAGATATGGTTTGAAAAACAACGGATTATTCTCGTCAACAATCTTCCAATGTCTCATTCTACGGGGCCAGACTAAATTACACATTTAATCTCAAATTTAGTCTGGTTTATCAGGCTATATCAATATTGTAACTGTTTCTTTCCTAGACAACGCCACCATTGTTGTCTCTAACTTAGAAACTATTATTAGATCTGTGCTTTGTGTTCCCTATTAAGTGTATGCCCTGTTTTCTCCAAGACCTGGTTGACCACAGAAGAATGCCATTCACACTGTGCCTGGTTCTGCTCAAGGTTATTTCCCTCTAAAATTGAGCTTTCCTGTTTACTGCAAAGGCATGAGTGGGATGAGGGATTGGTGGAAAGTCAGCAACAAAATACAAACTTCTGTGTTGCTACATCCTCATCAAGTAGGAGTGATTTCTGCAAAGTCAGTGATTCAATACAGTATGCTGGGCTTCCGTAGATATACACTATATTGCCAAAAGTATTTGCTCACCTGCCTTGACTCACATATGAGCTTAAGTGACATCCCGTTCCTAATCCATAGGGTTCAATATGACGTCGGTCCACCCTTTGCAGCTAGAACAGCTTCAACTCTTCTGGGAAGGCTGTCCACAAGGTTTAGGAGTGTGTTTATGGGAATTTTTGACCATTCTTCCAGAAGCGCATTTGTGAGGTCGCACACTGATGTTGGACGAGAAGGCCTGGCTCTCAGTCTCCGCTCTAATTCATCCCAAAGGTGTTCTATCGGGTTGAGGTCAGGACTCTGTGCAGGCCAGTCAAGTTCATCCACACCAGACTCTGTCATCCATGTCTTTATGGACCTTGCTTTGTGCACTGGTGCACAGTCATGTTGGAAGAGGAAGGGGCCAGCTCCAAACTGTTCCCACAAAGTTGGGAGCATGGAATTGTCCAAAATGTCTTGGTATGCTGAAGCATTCAGAGTTCCTTTCACTGGAACTAAGGGGCCAAGCCCAGCTCCTGAAAAACAACCTCACACCATAATCCCCCCTCCACCAAACTTTACACTTGGCACAATGCAGTCAGACAAGTACCGTTCTCCTGGCAACCGCCAAACCCAGACCCGTCCATCAGATTGCCAGATGGAGAAGCGCGATTCGTCACTCCAGAGAACGCGTCTCCACTGCTCTAGAGTCCAGTGGCGGCGTGCTTTACACCACCGCATCCGACGCTTTGCATTGCACTTGGTGATGTATGGCTTGGATGCAGCTGCTCGACCATGGAAACCCATTCCATGAAGCTCTCTGCGCACTGTTCTTGAGCTAATCTGAAGGCCACATGAAGTTTGGAGGTCTGTAGTGATTGACTCTGCAGAAAGTTGGCGACCTCTTCGCACTATGCGCGTCAGCATCCGCTGACCCCGCTCCGTCAGTTTACGTGGCCTACCACTTCGTGGCTGAGTTGCTGTCGTTCCCAAACACTTCCATTTTCTTATAATACAGCTGACAGTTGACTGTGGAATATTTAGGAGCGAGGAAATTTCACGACTGGATTTGTTGCACAGGTGGCATCCTATCACAGTTCCACGCTGGAATTCACTGAGCTCCTGAGAGCGACCCATTCTTTCACAAATGTTTGTAAAAACAGTCTGCATGCCTAGGTGCTTGAATTTATACACCTGTGGCCATGGAAGTGATTGGAACACCTGATTCCAATAATTTGGATGGGTGAGCAAATACTTTTGGCAATATAGTGTATATATATATATATATATTTTTTTTTACATTTTCCTTTAAGATTTAAATTAACACACTCTGTAAAGCACCTTGAGGTGACCAGTGTTGAGAATTGGTAATATTGGATTGGATGTGATTAGAGCAAAGACTTAGATAAGTGCCCTTTACTAATTTAATTGTTGGTGTACTTTGCATGATTTCTTCTGACTTTATCGGTCTTATTTCTGGGTGTCTGGGGTAAACCAGTTTTTCTCTCAGGGTGTTGTCGGGTTTGAAGTGCACAGGGATCTGGTGCTGGTTGAAAGTCCTCCTGAGTTTTTCAGAGACTCCAGCAATATAGGAGTCAGAAAAATGCAAATACAGCAAAAACTCCAATACAGCATGCGGCACCATAAAGTATTGGCGACAAGGGAGAAATATTAGGTGATGAACTGGATCTATGGCGGTGACATAGAGAACAAGTTCTCTTTAATAGACATCAGGGTAAGAACGGGACGGAAGCGAGGCAGGTTTGTAGTGTCGGTCGTCTTACTGTCCTGAAACGCACATGTTTGCCAGGGGCAGGTGAGTGGAATCTGGGATTGAGTTAAAGTTTCTGATGGGGAAGGAGTTTGGTTCTTCCAAAGAGGATGGTGGTGCTGAAAGAATGACTGAATACTGCGGACCAAAAAGGGACAAAAACCTGTACAGTGTATGCTCGCCTTAAGTGAGTTGATGTTGCTGGCAGTTACAATTAGCAGACTGCAGAAAAGATGGGTAAAAGTTAAGAGCTTTTTCAAGACTTTTGCAACCGTATTGTTGCAATCAAAAGATGGCAATAGTTATTGAACAATTTCTAAATTATTGAATGTTCCAGTGAGACTGTAGGGCCATAATTCTGAAGGGAAAAGAATATATTTTCACCATAAACCAACCACGACCAGGTGCTCCTCGCAAGATGTTTGACAGAGGAGTGTAAAGAATTATCAGAAGTGTTGTCCAAGAGCCAAATACAACTTGTGGAGAGCTTAAAAAGACCTGGAATTAGCACATTATAATAGTTTCAAAGAAAATAGCAAGTATTGCCCTCAACCCCTATGGCCTGCATGCAGGCTCACTGCACAAGACTCCATTGCTGAAGAAAAAGCAAGTTGAAGCATGTTTAAAGTTTAGTTTATCCCTAATGTCATCATTTAAATGTAAATAATTTAATGATGACTTAAGGGATAAAGTGAAAGTAATTTTGGATAAGATTCTGGTTGTGACTGCACTTAGGTTTTGAGTTAATAATGAATTACTCATTAAAGACACTGTTTATTCTGATAAGAAAATTAACTGCACTCTCTTGTACCGGAAGAATGGATTGCTGAATTGTGATGAGAACACTCCATGAGAACCACCACATGGATTCAGCATCTACACTGTCACCGGACTGCATGGAGACCAAAGGGGCTGTGGAGGAGGCCATATGAGACTCTGATTGATTAATTAGATTGATGAGTGATAGAGACACTGAAAGAATTCATCATCGTCAGTGATGTTCATCATTTGCCTTTAACTCGGACCAGAATAATTCTTGATTTTACCTAATTGTGATTTATCTGTTTGATTTATTTTGATTTTGTTTTGATGAAAAGCATAGAAACAGTTTCAGTGTATTCTCATTATCAGTTGGTATGAAATCGTACGAAAAGTTATGCACCGTAATTTCGTACGTTTGCCGTTTTTTTCGTGGTATTTCATCGTATTTTTACGTCTTGCCTCAAGACAAGATATCCTTGCGCATGCGCATCTTATGCACCATTCAATAACAGAATTTAACATACAATTAACCCTAACCCTGACCCTACACCTAACCCTAAGATACAAAACAGCAAGCAACCTAGTGAGAGACATGAAGAAGTAATTATTGCACTGTTTTTCCCAGTTTTATCACCTTCCACAGATCTGCTTTTTTCGTCTGTATGGTTGCGCATGCGCACTGATCTGTTTTTTCGAGGAAAAACGTCAAAAACGTATGAAATACTGTGCATAACTTTTTGTACGATTTCATACCAACTGATAATGAGAATATGTTGACAGTTTTGCTCCAGACCAACCAAGATCAAGTTTTATGCCACTTTTGCTTTGATATAGAAAGACTCAGAACCTGATTGGCATAAACGTTCTTTAGTTAGTTGGTAATGATAATTGTCAGATTCAAAACAGAGTTTTCTTGCTCAGATTGGCCGAGAGTGGGACTTCCCTGGGGTCACCCCGGTTTTTTGTCCCGAGTAATCTTTTTTCAGGGAAAAGAACCCGAGGGATAGAGCATCAGGGTGCATACAGAGAGCCTATCTTTAACACTGCACATTTAGCCTATGAAATACCGGGAGAATATAGTCTGGTCAGATG